TTAGCATCATTGCCTGAGGCGCGAATGTGAGTTTCGGCCTCGAACTTCATCGCCCTCACGAAAATGCCATGTGGCACCTCTCTTGCCACTTGCAACGGAAGATTCACCTGCACGTGGCAACAGAGAAATAGTTCTCAGAATAGGAATGCAGCGGAATGATGAAACTAGGAAGTGTGGAAGTACAAATATGCAACCCTAACAACTGTACTCCCTATTGTGCTACTCACTGTAGCCTACAACCATACAATTACATTTGACACACCCCCATAGGCTAAGTGAGGGGCATCAAAACAAGCAAGGTGAACAAACGGTCACAAGACCAGTCAAAGCAAGAAACAAGGCAAGCTCAAGGTGGATCTCAAGGACACCACACAAATTCCGAGCGCAAGCAAGCGGCCACAAGGCCAGTTCAAGAGTTCACTAGGATATAAATAGGAAGCACAACAAGTAGAGCAAACAACAAGACAACAGCAACCGAGGGCCTACCTCAACAAGCCCCAACTGCACACAGAACCTGTGGTGATCACCAAGCGCCAATGCCTTGGTGAAGACGTCTGCAGTGTTGGCCTCTGAGGCCACAAAGTCCAGGCGTGCCTGACCGCGTCGCTGCAGCTCTCGCAGGAGGAATTACCTCACGTCAATATGCTTCACTCTGCTCTCCAGTCGAGGCTCTCGACACAGGAGGATCATGGCCTTGTTGTCAGCGTATAAGGTCGGTGCAGAGCGAGGCCGCTCACCAAGGTCGGCGAGCAAGAAGGTCAACCAGCGAAGCTCCTGTGCCGCCATGGCACCAGCGTAGATCTCTGCCTCTGCACTGGAAGTAGCCACAGACGACGACCGTGTAGACCTCCACGACACAGCACCAGCTCCCAGACTGAAGCAGTAACCCTGAGTCGAGCGCTGAGTCTCCACGTCGTCAGCGTAGGAAGAGTCGCAGTGACCAGTCAACGCCACTGGCTGAGTCCCTCCAAGCACAAGCCCCATGCCTGATGTAGTCGCCAAGTACTTCGCCACCCTCACAGCAGCTGTCCAGTGGACAGGGCGGTGTCTCCCAGTCGCAACAAAGCGAGAAAGGATGCTGAGGGGAAAGGCGAGGTCCGGTCGAGTACAAGTCATCAGGTACATGAGGCAGCCCACCAGCTCTGCGTAGGGTCCACTGGACTCGAAGGGCTCGTCAGGAAAGGGGCCCGTGAGTCTGTGGTCAACAGCAAGAGGAGTGGGCTGTGTGGTGGAGAACTGGAAGTCGAACCGCCGAAGGACCTGCTGCACCATGTGTGACTGCGTCAGTGTGATGGTGCGAGCGGCTCTGCAGGCCAAGGTAGCGCTGCAGCTCACCCAGGTCAGTGCACTTGTGTCTCTTCTGCAGTTCGGACTTCACCTGAGCCAGGGCTGCCCTGTCAGCTGTAGCAAACACCAAGTCGTCGACGTAGACAAGGATAAAGAAAGGAGTAGAACCCGCTCGAACAAACAGCGACGGGTCGGCGGAGGACGGGCTGAACCCAAGGTCACGAAGCGTGGAGCGAAGAGTGTCGTGCCACTCACGGGGCGACTGGCGGAGACCGTAGACTGGTCGCCTCAGGCTCCACTGGGTCCCAGGTGGGAAGGTGTCAGTGAAGCCAGGAGGACGGCGCAGCCAGATCTCCTCGTGCAGTCGGCTCTGGAGGAACGCAGTGGAGAAGTCGAGGGAGTGCAGCTCGTAGTCTCGCTGCGCTGCTATGTGGAGTAACACCCGAAGAGTAGTCATCTTCGGGGTCGGGGCGAAGGTCTGGAAGAAGTCAACTCCCTCACGCTGACTGAAGCCCCTAGCCACGTAGCGCGCCTTGAACACCGGCGGTGCTCCAGGCGGCCGCTTCACCTTGAAGAGCCACATGCCATCGACTACGTTCGCCCTGGGAGGGGGAACTGCGTCGACGTAGGTGCCTGTGGATCTCCAAGACGCCAACTCTGAGTCCATAGCCGCTTTCCACTGAGAGGCCCACGCCACTGACACTGCCTCGCGGTAAGTCCGAGGAGTCGGTATGTCAAGGGCGTCGGGGTCTCCCTCAGGGGAGAGCAGCATGGCACACACAGAGGGAGAAGCGGTTGCCCAGTACTCCAGCTCAGACTCTCTGTCCTCTAGGACGTCACAGCCAAGGGCAAACCCACCCCCGACGGACAGAGGACGGTAGGGAGGAGCTGGCACCACCCGGGTGGCGTAGTCAAGGCGGCTGGCGGCAGCAAACTCAGTGACAGCGGCAGTAAGAGCCGAGGCAGACGACGGAGGGAAACGAGAGTCAGTGACAAGAGTGGCGAGGACACGTGCGGCAACAGGACGAACAGTGCGGTAGTAGTCAGTTATAGGAGTGGGGAGGGCTGGGAGAGAGGACGGAGGAGGAGACGGGAGAACGGACACAGGAGAACGAGAACGACGACGGGACGAACAAAGGAGGGCAGTGTGGAGGTCAGTAACAGGGGACGAGTGACGAGCACGCGGAGGACAACGAGTGATCAAGTCGTGACGGACAGAGTAAGGAGGAGACCGAGGAGGAGGAGAAGACCAGACCGCCGGACGGTCGTCAGGAGGAGGCAACGGAGGAACAAACACAGGAAGTGTGGAAGTACAAATATGCAACCCTAACAACTGTACTCCCTATTGTGCTACTCACTGTAGCCTACAACCATACAATTACATTTGACAATAGTGGGAGGGGGCAAATCTCGGCAGATTGCCTTTGAATGTACTGCGAAATTTCATTGAGGGAGAAATTCACACGATATTCTTCCGTATTGCAGCTACTCATTAACGACTATAATAATGAATCCGTAAGAAAAGGGGGGTGTTATAGAAAATCAGCCAAAAAGGGGGGTATAGTAGAAACGAGGTCTATCATAACACCCACCCCGCACAAGCGACCCGGGGGTGTACAATTATGGGGGGGTGTTTTGTCCGGGAGTATACGGTACTCCAAAACGGGCGTTTAGCGCGGTTCGCCGATGACCATTGCTACATTACAAGCCGCTTCGCTTTCAAAATACACAATTTTGAAAAGCGTTACAGCTTTTAAAAATATTCATTTTGTACCAAAACTCTACCTTGATTAAAACCTTAATGTCAAGGAGTGAACTGTTTTGAATGGATTTTACGGTAGAATGAAGGTTGCACATGAGTACCATAATACTAATGAGAGAAGTTGTAACACAAGAAAAATGCACACCGGTACATGGCAACAAGTTGACTGACAATCAAGATCCAAAATAGAAAGATGCGCATCTAGAGAGTGTAGAGAAGAATGACAGTGAGAGTGTAGCCCAGGAAGAAGAGAGTACAGCACACAAAGTCAATTCTGGCTGCAAGAAGATAGTTGCCTGACTTGGCATGCTCGTCGTCAACGGGCTTGAGATGGTACCCAAAGAGGCTGAAGTTCTGTACAGTATAAGCGAGAGACAAATACAAACAGAAATCACAACAAATGAGCACGCAATTTTCGAAGTTGCTGCAAGGTAGATCTCAGTTGAGCTGAGACTGCGATGGAACAGAAACTACTACAGTAAGTGCTGTGAGGGACGACTAAAATGGACAGCACACGATTGGGCACACACCAAAACGAGAGCAACTCCCGCTTACCACACACACACACACACGCACACACACACACACACACACACACACACACACACACACACACGTCCACTCACCCAGGTATGGCCCTCCGCTTCTTGAAGTGACCGCTTTTCGGGGTTCAGACAGGCCGCTTGAAACTTCTCTCCTCCGCCACTGCTGGCTGCAACGTTCCCCTCTCCCCCCTCCTCATCATCCCCCTCTGTCACCACCGGACACAGCTCCTGGCTCTCCTCCCCTGCGCCGTCGGCCTTGCCGGACCCAAAAGCACACGTTTTCTCCACCTGCTGTGGGCTTTGGGGCTTTGGCTCAGCACGGAATGTCCGTGTGGTGCGCGAGGCTGCTGCTGCCATGTCCCCCACCGTCTCCGCCACGTCCTTCTCCAGCTGCACACAGCGGCACACAGCGGCACACAGCGACACAGAGCGGTACACAGCAAGCAAGTGCAGTGACGAATCCCCAGAACGGGCACGCATTAGATGAGCAACCGTCAAACATTGCAGCAAAACAGGGCAGGGAGGTGGACAAGATGACCACACAGCGGAAACGACGAGGAGGGGACGTATGCATGTGTTGGTGCTCCCATGCCAAGCTGCCTTGCAGGGCAGGCAGTGGCACGAGGCACAGCACGGAGGAGGGTGGCAGCAGCGGGAGCAGGTTGATTGGCAGGGCAGGGCAGGGGTGGCTGACCCGTTCGGCGATGAGGTAGACGATGAGTGTTTCGACGGCAGTGAGCGAGATGAAGACGTATGAGATGATGACCAGATAGCCAAACTGCGTCATCACTGATGAGCGCGGCAGCTGCATGGGAGGGGTTGGTGGGGGGAGGAGAGGGGAAGGCGGGGGGGAGTTGGACGGGCACAAGGGGAAAACGGAGCGATGAGGGTAGGGACAAAGGAAGCGGACAGGGAGGTGTAGGGAGGGCAGGAGGGATGCGGCGTTGGGTCGGGTAGGAAACGATATGAACATGTTGAGGCGATTAAATAAGGGGAATTCAGTGAAGGGAGGGTGAGACGGTTTGCTCCTTGGTGAGTGCTGGTGGTGAAATGAGGTGTTGTTAGGCAGTGTGTGATGTGAAGCATGAGCAGTGCTCACTCTGTGAGAATGGAGTGAACCAGGTGCTCATGGCATCAGCTGCTGAATGGAACAATGACAATGCAACACACGCACCTGCTCACCCAACCACCCACGCATGCATCCACCCACACACCCACTCACCCACACCCACTCACCCACACCCACTCACCCACACCCACTCACCCACACCCACTCACCCACACCCACTCACCCACACCCACTCACCCACCCCACTCACCCGCCCACTCATCCGCCCACCCACCTAACCACCCCCTAGGCACCGACCCATCTGCCCACGAACCCAGTCAGGCAGGCAGGCACGGACCTGGCTGTCAATGACAAACTGCACGGCTGAGAGGGCGAGGAAGAGCGTGACAAAGGTGGCGGATCGAGTCTCAAGGTCGTCGGGGCGAGCAAAGAAGACGGAGAAGCAGAGATACACACTCAGCATCACAGGCACGACAATCTGACAGGGATGGTAGGGGGTGACACGTGCAAGGGACGCGCATTTGTAGAGGTCAGATATGCAAGGCACAGGCAGCGGAGGGACGAGGATGGAAGCACGAGACACAGGTGATGACGATGGTGAGGGTGGTCAGTTGGATTTGGCAAGAGAGAGGAGACGTGACGTGATAACGGAGGATGGTGAATGAAGACGGAGGCATACCGAGATGATGAAGACGCCACTGGTGCGCGAGATCTGGATGGTGAACACACACGACGACGACTCGTTCACGTTGCTGCTGCCGCTGCCTGACGGGGAATTCTGAGAGAATGCGTACCAGGGGTCATCTGCACAGCCCCACACACATGGCAGCACGCATGGCGCAATACATACATCTCATTAGTCAACTTGACAAAAGCGGGAATAAGAGTGGGAATGGCCATGGTAGACACCTGTGGTCACCAGGAACGTAAGAACCGGGGTTACCGGGGATGTAAGAAGAAGTGGTGGTTACCGGGAAAGTAGAGGTGGTTACCGGGATGGTAGGTGGCGGAGGTGGAGACGGTAATTTGGGAGGGAGTGCAGTTGAGGCCCACGCCGTTGATCTTCCAGCCTGTGACCTCATCATTCACGTACGTGCCTCCCCCTCCCCCCAGGTTCCCGCCCCCCTGCTCCGACTGCCGCCCTGAATTGCTCCCCACCAGGACAAACTCCCCACTCTCCACCTGAATGCTCAGCCGCAGCGTCTGCCGTACGTAGCATGCAGAAGGGACGGAGGTAGGGGCAAGGGCAGGGGCAGAGGCAAGGGCAGAGGCAAGGGCAGAGGCAGCGGCAGGGGCAGAGGTAAAGATAGAGGCAGAGGCAGGGGCAGAGGCAGAGGCAGGGGCAGGGGCGTGAGAATGATGCGGGAAGGAGGAAAGGGTGTCAGTGCTTTGTCTCCGCTCACTTGTCTGTACAAGCGCGCGTGCGTGTGCGTGCGTGCGCGTGTGTGCGTGCATGTGTGCGTGTGTGTGTGTGTGTGCATGTCTGTGTGTGTGGCGGTCCAAAGGGGAGAGTGAGAGAGCGAGTGCGGGACAAGAGGATAAATGCGAGAGACCCACCTGAGAGTCAAGAGGAAACTTCTTGAAGCTGAGGGGTGACGAAAACTCGCCTTTTACACACACAAACGCACATCAACACAGGCGCACACATATGCACGACCGCGCACACACACACAAACACACACACGGCGGAAAGATAACGTGTGAGCTTTAGGGGACGCCCCGGGCTCATGGGTTGCATGATTGCATGCAATAGTGCTGACGGTGGAAGCCGCGCGGGGGTTTCAGGGGCGAGGAAGAGCAAGTGTAAGATACGGAAGCGGGGTGGACGATGGAGAGAGACGGAAGGAAGGAGGATCGAGGGGGTTGAGAGCGGAGAGAACGGGAGTGGAGAGGAAGGAGGGGACTTGAGGGAGAGGAGGGGGGTGGATGGAAAGGAGGGAAGTGGAGGGACAGGAGGGGAGTGGAGTGAGAGGAGGGGAGTGAAGGCGAGAGGAGGGGAGTGGAGGGGAGAGGAGAGGGGGGAGCAATGGGGAGGAGCACCTCCAACGACAACTTCTCTGTCGACGGAGCTGGCCTCGTTGCTGTACTGCCCGAAGAAATAGATGCTCTCTGCGCGGTGGGAAGGAGCACGCCGTGGGGGGGTGGCGGGAGGGATGGGGGGAGAGGGGGAGATGGAGAGGGCAAAGGAATGAGAGATGAGGGGGTGGGGGGGTGGGAGGGAGGGATGGGTGGGAGGAAGAAGAAAGGCGCGAGGAGGACGGACGGAAGTGGAGAATTGACAAGGATGGGACGTTAAGGCCAGCCGGGTTATTAGTAGAGAGGCAGATGCGAGGAAGTGCGGCTTGTGTGGGTAGCGAGCGAGGTGCATGCATGCAAGTGAGCGAGCGAGCAAGGGGGGGAGCGAGGGGTGGAGGGAGCGAGGGGGGGAGCGAGGGGTGGAGGGAGCGAGGGGGGGAGCGAGGGGGGGAGCTCGGGAGGTGGAGGGCTGGCGGGCGGGCGGACCTGTTTGGAAGCGGTCTTGGGGGTAGAAAAGAACATTGTCGATGGTGAGCGAGGGGATCCAGATGGAGTCGCAGCACGTGGTGCCGGACGGCGTGCACGGCTTATTGCAGCCGTCCATCTGCGGCAGGTTGTTCTGCTTGGGCGTCTTGAGGCACTCGTCCTTCTGGCTGATGTTAAACCCCGAAAACGTCACGTCCGGCTTGCACTTGGCTGTGGCGAGTCCCGTTATGGCCGGCCCGAACGCGTTCACCGCGTTGTTTATCGCCAGCGTGTCGTTCACTGCCGGCCCGCACGCACGCACAGGCACGCGCAGGCAGAGGCCGAGGCAGAGGCCGAGGCATGGGAAGGGGCAGAGGCATGGGGACAATGAGATATAATTAGAGTCATCCACAATCGCGACGATTCGCAGTGCTGCTTTGTGCGCGTGCTTCGTGGCGCGGCGTTGATACGTCGAGCACACATTGGCATCGCCACTTGAACGGACGACAACGGACGCGGCGGCGGCACGGCAGCGCGAAAAGACGGAGCATGGGGTGTGCGGCGCGAGGCAAGCAGCAGCAGAAGGGAGGGCGAAACGCACCTCGAGGGTCGCGCCACGTGGAGACAATTTGGAAATACGCCATGTAGCTGTACTTTACGGCTGTAGGGGGGAAATAAACATGGGGGAACGGAAAGATGGACGGCGATCTCTGGGGGTGTGGGTGGGTGGTTGTGCGTGTTTGTGTAAGGCGGGCTCCTTGCACCCCAGGTCATGTGTGGAGGGGGAAAAAAGAGGGGGTTGTGTCCCCGCGCGCGCGCGCGTGTATCTGCGACGAGCGCGTGCGAGGAGTCTGACGCGAGTAGAACAACGCGGCGGCTCACCGTCGACGGTGACGAGTTTCTTGAGCAGGACGGAGAGAAACACTTTAGGCTTTTCCGCCACGATCCCCGCTGTGTACGGGTCGATGCCCTGACCAATCAGCGGGCAGTCTGTCTGCGCCGCCGCCAGCTGAACGCCTCCGCAATTGGCGCCGGAATACGCGGTCCATGGGAGCAGCATGATTGCGAGTCGCAGCACGAGGGACAACTGCGACTCCATCCGGTGAGCGATAAGAGCCGCCATTGCCTCACTCCGACGTATACGAGCCAAGACTAGTGATTACAACACGTATACAATGAAATGCGTGGTGAAGGAACTGGGCTCGTGGGCAGCGAGAACGCTGAACGTCTAGGTAGGGCCGCTGGTGACGGAATTACGCTGTGAGCGCAAGAGTGTCTGCGCGCGCACCTGTGAATTTGAGAGGAACATTGCTAGGAGTGCAGGGTTGTCTTTGGTGAACGAATCACAGGGCGGGGGCGTTGGTTGGCCTTCGCACGAGTGCAGGGAGAGGGGGAAAAGCGGATCGATGAATGTATCTGCGCGGCGGAGATCTGGATAACTCGTCGGGGGTATCGGGCGCACATCTATAACAGCCGGAAGCATCTAGTACCAGCTCCGATTGGTTAGAAACCGATACGGTGTGACGGTTTGTCAGCCAAACCTCCTTGTCGAGGCGTCTCGCGTGCTTCGGAGCAGCCAAGTCTCTGCTACAACGGCTACAATGGGTGAGACCATGGCTAAGTCTTCCTAACCAAGCTACGAAGTCATGCGTTTCCTTACCTCCGATGGACTCAGCAAGAGTCGGCAGGCTCGGTGTTAGACTTTTCAGGTTTTCCTAAGGGTCTGGTGGAACTCAGACCAGCTCCAACCGTGCTGCAACACATCCCACCCATTTTCAATTTTTGTGATACGATCTCCCAACACTCCGAACCAGACCCAAGCCATTCAAGACGAGACCTCCTCGCCGACCACTCAACTCAAGCCGAAACCCCCCTGACCGGGCAAAACATCCACCATCCCTTCCCCTCCCAAACCTGTGCCCCTTCCCCTTCTGCGATTCGCGTTTCTGCGCCGCTCCCCGCAAGCAAATTTTTGCCGAACACCTCTATCCCAGCGCCACCCCCCGCACTCGCGCAGTCATCCCTTAGTTTCTCCACTCTGTTCCGCGCACTCCACATTCCACGTTGCCAAGCAGACAGCGCTGTTCCGAGGAGCTAACCAAGGCCTTCCACAGGCTCTCTTGCTCGCTGTTTTCCTTACCACTCCCGCAATATCCGCGTCACTCCAGGAAAGTCTTTCATACTCCATTGCTACTAGCAGTGGTATTGCTGCTCCATGATAGCAATACTAGCATGCTGATCATGCTGAACCTAATGGACTCCTCCTCCGTCCGGCGCCGCCGTACTACGTTATCGCCATCCAATCGCCGATTCTCGCATCCAACGATGTCGACTCCCCGTGCCGTGGCAATCCCGCTGCTGCTGCTTCTGGTACTCACGCTCCTGGCGCCGGCGGATGAGCGTTCCGCCAGCGGAGGCGGCGGAGTGCGCGGGGCGGTGGCGCAGACGGACTGCCCGCTGGTGGGGCAGGGCATCGACCCGTACTCGGCGGGGCTGGTCGACAACAAGCCGCCCGTCTACGTCTCCGTGCTCCTCAAGAAGCTCATCGCCGTTGACGGTACGCGCGCTACCTTTGTTCCCACACTACCGCGCCCCTTCCCCATCCCCCCCTTCCCCCGCCCCCTTCCCATTCCCCCCTCCCTTCGTCCTTTCCGGCTCAAAGTTTATGTTGGCATAACCAATTGGGTGCCATTGGCAAAAAAAACACGTCTGAGTTGCCCCTCATCTTCCCACGTCACTCCCCCGCATTCCCTCCCCCTTCCCCTTCCCCGGTGGGTGCGTTGCGCTGCGCATCGCATGGCATGGCATGGCATGGCGGCGGGCAGAGGTCCAGTACAGCTACAGCGCCTACTTCTCCATCGTCACCACCTGGCGCGACCCACGAGGTGCGTGCTACTAGTACCACGCTCCCCTCGTGCTCCCCACGTGGCGCTGTGCTGCTCATAACTAGTACGGTCGGGTCGTTTCGCGCTTGCGCGCTGATCGTTGCGTCTCATGGTGGGAGTATTCCGCGTTCTTCTCCCGGCCCGGCTTGGCATGGCATGGCATGGAATGACGTGGCGTGACGTGGCATGGCATGGCATGGCATGGCGTCGCGTCGCATGGCGTGACATGGCATGGAACAACACGGCACGGCACGGGATGGCACGGCATGGCATGACGTGGCACGGCAGTGAACGACACGGTGGCAATCAACAAGGTGCTGTCGGCGATGGGGCCGGCGCTGACGTGGAAGGCTGTGGAGGACTGCAAGCCCAACGTGACGTTCTCGGGGTTCAACATCAGCCAGAAGGACGAGTGCCTCAAAAACACCAACCAGGTCAAAGGGGGACCGGCGCGCGGGGCGTGCGGGGGATGTGGATGGGGGGTGAGAAGGCAAGGGAGACGCAGCCGTGAGCGGATGGGCGGGCGTGGGGCTGGGGCATGTGCGGATGGGGAGGTGATGCACCTACCTGCTTGACGCTTGAATCTCCCACCACCACCACCACCACCACCACCACCACCACCACCACCACCACCACCACCACCACCACCACCACCACCACCACCACCACCACCACCATCGCCGCCGCCGCCACCACCACCGCCACGTTGAGTGGCACCATATCAGCGTTATCTCTATCGCCGTGTTCCTCGCCTCTCTCTCGGAGTGCAGAACAACCTCCCGCAGATGGACGGGTGCAAGAAGCCGTGCACTCCTGCGGGCATCACGTGCTGCGACGCCCTCTGGATCCCCTCGCTCACCATCCCCAACGTCGTCCTCTACCCGCAGGACCGCTACCAAACTGGTCAGCCCCAACACCTCTCTCCCTCTCTCTCTCCACTTCTCTCTATTTCTCTCCCGCTTTCTCTCTCTTGGTTCTTTTTCTCTCCGTAGTATGGCACCAGAATGCCAGCAGTCAGTCACAAGGCGAGTAGGCTCACTCAAGTACAGCCAGCCTGAGAGAAGTTACCTGTATCTCGTGCCTGGCCTTAAAGTGCAGGTTCGCTCGTTACGCCCACACCCCATTCCACGTCATGCCATGCCGTGCCATGGCAGATATTCGCTAGGAAGCATGCAGTGCACGTGCATGGCACGGCAGACAGACGTATCTCTGCATGCATCCCTGTTTTCCCCCTTGTGTCCTCCTCGGCGTCTGTGGGTGCAGAGAGCATATTCTTCTTTGGCGATTACAGTAACGATGCCAGTGCCGTCGACAGAGAGTCCATTGTTGAGGGTACGTCGCCCCCTTTACATGCCTCTCTGGCTCTTCAATCCTCCCTCGCCCTGCTCTCGCACCCCCTGCGCTGCTCTTCTCTGCTCTGCTCTGCTCTGCTCTGCTCTGCTCTGCTCTGCTCTCCGCCCTTGTCCACCAATGGCCGCCCTGTTTTTGAAAGGCTGGTGTATCTGTCCTTGAGCCACCTCCAATCAACCCCACTCTCTCTCCCCCTCCACCCCCTTTTCTCTGCTCCCCATCGAGCAGGAACCTTCTCCTCGCCCTTCACCTTCCGAAGATTCCCCTTTGACTCCCAGGTACCGCTCGTCTTCCCCTTCTCCCACGCGTCCTCTCAGCGCCTCCTTCAACTGCCACTTTCCTCTAGTATTCTCACCTTCCATCCAAATGCACTCACAAAGAAACGTCTGCACCCACCCACGTGCGTTTCATGCATTGGGGGCGACGCACGCATCTAAGCAGTCTTCCTCCCTCCCTCCCTCCCTCCCTCCCTCCCTCCCTCCCTCCCTCCCTCCCTCCCTCCCTCCCTCCCTCCCTCCCTCCCTCCCTCCCTCCCTCCCTCCCTCCCTCCCTCCCTCCCTCCGCTTCCTCCCTCCGCTTCCTCCCTCCGCTTCCTACATACTGTATCGCACATCCTCTCCTCTCTCTTCCCCCACCTTTCCTCCGCTGCTTTGTATCTCCCCACCTCGCTCGTCCCCCCAACCTCCTTCCTCCCTTCAGATCCTGCGGTTGGTGGTGGCAGTGGAGGGCAGCGGCGAGTTCTACCTGGTGGGGAGCAACTCGGGGCGGCAGTCGGAGCAGGGGGGCGGGCAGCTGGGGGGAGGGGGAGGCACGTACGTGAATGATGAAGTCACGGGCTGGAAGATCACCAGTGTGGCGCTCAACTGCACTCCCGCTGAGACAACTGTCAGCAGCTCCGCCACCTACCATCCTGGTGAGCGCTTGCGTGCGCGAGTGGGTGTGCAATTGTGTGCGCGTTTGCATGCGTGCCTGCGTGCCCACGTGCAAGCATGTGTCTGTTTGTGTCTGTGTGTGTGGTGGGGGGGGGGGGGGGGGGGGGAGGGGGAGTGTGTGAGGGTGTGTGTGGGGGGGTATGGGTGGGTGGGTGTGCGCATGCGCACCAGACTGGCCAACGCATTAAAGCATCGCTGAGAGCACTCGCTGTTCTTCCCTCTGCTCCCACCCCTTCCTCTGCTCCCACCGCTCCCTCTGCTCCCACCGCTCCCTCTGCTCCCACCGCTCCCTCTGCTCCCACCGCTCCCTCTGCTCCCACCGCTCCCTCTGCTCCCACCGCTCTCTCTACACACCATTCTAATCTCCCCCTACCTGCTCTCCCCACATGTGCCTACCTGCTCTCCCCACATGTGCGTACCTGATACCCGCTGCTACTGGCCCTCGCCCCCAGAGGACCCGTGGAACGCCATACCGGACAACACGGGCAGCAGCAGTGGGGCAGTGAGCAACCAGAGCTCCACGTGCATCTTCACCATCCACATCCAACGCACCAGCAGCGTCTACGTCATTGCTGTATGCCCCCACTCCTGCCTCCTACCTCACTTGCTGTCATCGCCGTACGCTCCCACCCCTGCCTCCTCCCTCACTCTCTGCTGCTGCCATTCTCGCCTTCCTAACGGCGCTGCCATCTGCTTCTCTCCTCCGCGCATCATCCCGCCTTCCCTGCCTTCGTCTTTGAATCTGTACGTGTGCAATTTATACCTTTAGTTGACTGTACCCCCACTGGCCATGTCACTCCCCACTGGCCTAATCCTCCTACTCGTTTCTGGCCCATAACCTGTCTTTGCAATCTCTCCCCCCCCACCCCCTTTCTTCCCTCCTCCTCCTCCTCCTCCTCCTCCTCCTCCTCCTCCTCCTCCTCCTCCTCCTCCTCGCACCTCTCTCTTTCTCTCTCCTCTCACTCCTCTCTCTCCTCTCCCTCCTCTCTCTCTCCTAACTCTGCTCTCTCCTCTCTCTCCCTCTCTCTCTCTCTCTCTCTCTCTCTCTCTCTCTCTCTCTCTCTCTCTCTCTCTCTTCTCTCTCTCTTCTCTCTCCTCCCTCTCCTCTCTCTCCTCTCACTCCTCTCTCCTCGCCCCCCTCCCCCGCCCCACCAGGTGCTGCTGCCGGTCATCCTGAGCGTCTATCTCACATTCACGGCCTTCATAGCAAAGCCAGAGGATCTCGAGATTCGATTGGGGGCGTGCCTCACGCTCTTCCTTGCACTCGTCGCCATTCAGTTCGTCATTGACAGCCAGGTTCGGCATTGACAGCCAGGTTCGTCATTGACAGCCAGGTTCGGCATTCACAGCCAGGTTCGGCATTCACAGCCAGGTTCGGCATTCACAGCCAGGTTCGGCATTGACAGCCATGTTCGGCATTGACAGCCAGGTTCGGCATTGACAGCCGGGTTCGTCATTAACAGCCAGGTTCGGCATTGACAGCCTGGTTCGGCATTGACAGCCAAGTTCGTCATTGACAGCCAGGTTCAGCATTGGCAGCCAGTCAATCCGTGCAAGCTTCTCCCCTCCCCTCCCCCACAACCCTCCTTCTGTTATTCTTGGCCGGTTCAAGATCCCACCTTCTGTCATTCTGCTCCCTATCTCCTCTCACCTTGCCACAACGTCCCCACACCTGCTGCTTCACCATCACCACTCTCTCCTTCCAATGCCCTCCTCTGCCTTCAATCCAACCTGCACAACCTCCTCCCCTCGCCATTCTCTCCCTCTTTCTCACCTCAGCCCCCCATTTTCAAAACCAAAACCCTGCTTCCCTGCTCATCCAACACTGTCCCAGCAATCTTTTTCCTACATTCTCCTCCCCACCCACCCCTCCCCTCCCCTGCGTTCCATGGGGGCAGTTGCCGCGCACGTCAGCGATAACCAACTTTGGGTATCTGATGATAGTGTCGTACATTGTCATCTGGCTGTGCACCATGGAGACCCTCGTCGCCTTCTGCATCGCCGAGCGCATCGAGAAGAACGTGCAGGAGCTCGTGCAGGACACCCTGCCGCCCGCCCTCTCCTTCAAGCGCCCTGCTGGGGACAGGGCAGCAGGCGAGAAGCTGATGGGCGGTGGGGAGGACGGGGAAGGTGTTGACAGCAACGACCCTGAAGCCATTGCTGAAGCTGCAGCGGAGCGGAGGGCTGCTGCGGCTGAGGAGAAGCAGAAGAAGAACGTCCCGGGCCTGCTGGTATGTAGCGCTGCCCTGCCTGCCTGCGTGCTGCTGCTGCTGCCACCGCCACCGCCGCCGCCGCCGCTGCTGCTGCCACTGCCACTGCCGCTGTTGCAAGTGCTGGACTGTGGGTGAGTCCAGTTGGGCTCGCTTGCACACTTGCCCTGCTGCTTTGCCCTGGCCTTTTTTCTGGTTTCCATGCTCTCTTGCGTATTCCATCTCAGGGCGTGTTCCTACGGCCTCGTATCAGGAAACCTCGTATCAAGAATGTACTTTTTGCCTGGTAAAACTAGCGAGAGATTTTGGGTTTAGGGGAAATTTCAGTGTGAGCCTGATACGAGGTTCTCTTGATACGAGGTGTAGGAACACGCTCTCACCCCCATCTCACCTCATCTGATTGGTGCCTTGTCTTGGCAGAGATTCCGGTTGTTTGGCTACCATGTGAGGCAATCCAACCCTGAAAGAGCCAAGGAAGGGAACTACCGGCTTGCAGTCAAAATAGACATCATTGTTGGTTTTTTTCTCTTCACTGGCTACACCATTACCTGGATAGTTCTCTGCACCACTTGACACGACGCTCTCTAGCTGGCAAACCATGCAGCGTGACGTGAAACCGGCATCTGAGCTGACTATATATATCTGTGGTAGTAGAGGGTATGCTTTTTATCGATTGCAGCTCAGGGCACTGCGGGGGCTGCTCAAATCAAGGGTGTGTTTCTAATCGGTCTCCCAGTTCCAAGCAAGTCCGCGAGGCTGAATTTTTTTTCCTTTTGTGGGCCTCCTTAAGATTTTTCAGCAAAATGGCAACTGTCATGTCATCAGCCTTGTACCGCATTGGAGTATCAAAAGAAAATACAGATAGAAGCGCAATCATTTGTAGAAGGATTGTAAGGAATTTTCTCGGCATTCCTTACGGAGCCCGACTACATCGCGTACAGCAACAGCCGTTGTTCGCCCGTTACTGCTAACGGGGCTTCGCCGACTTCGCGCGCACTGTTTCACCAAACCTCGCACTGCTGGCCTGGCCGTGTCGGCCTACGCTTCGGGACTAGCCCGAGCCTCGCTCCAGCGTAGCACTAGCTAGCTCGCACGCACCGCGTTACCGTTTGCAGGTTTCGCATATAAATGTTCGCTCATGCTTTCGCTCACATTTTTGTCAAATGTTGAACATTGATATGATAGGCTATAGTGAGTTGCACTCTAGGGGGTACAGCTTCTAGGGTTGCTCATTTGTACCCCATTCGTTTCTATTCCAACCATTCCGTTGTTCGCTAACTTTGAGATGGTATCATGAGTAGGTGTCGATCCTCTCGCCTAGCCTAGCCTAGCTCGCGCCCTAGCGCCCTCCGCGCCCTTGCGCCCTAGCACACTCCGCGCCCTCCGCGCCCTCCGCGCCCTTGCGCCCTAGCACCCTCCGCGCCCTCCGCGCCCTCCGCGCCCTCCGCGCCTTAGCCACCGCGCCCTCCGCGCCATCTCCGCGCCTTAGCGCCCTCCTCCTCCGCGCGTTAGCGCCCTCCGCGCCCCTAGCCTGCGCCCCTAGCCCGTCGCCCAGGCCCACGCCCTAGCCCGTCGCCCAGGCGCCCGCCCTAGCCCGTCGCCCAGGCGCCCGCCCTAGCCCGTCGCCCAGGCGCCCGCCCTAGCCCGTCGCCCAGGCGCCCGCCCTAGCCCGTCGCCCAGGCGCCCGCCCTAGCCCGTCGCCCAGGCGCCCGCCCCAGCCCGTCGCCCAGGCGCCCGCCCCAGCCCGTCGCCCAGGCGCCCGCCCCAGCCCGTCGCCCAGGCGCCCGCCCCAGCCCGTCGCCCAGGCGCCCGCCCCAGCCCGTCGCCCAGGCGCCCGCCCTAGCCCGTCGCCCAGGCGCCCGCCCCAGCCCGTCGCCCAGGCGCCCGCCCCAGCCCGTCGCCCAGGCGCCCACCCCAGCCCGTCGCCCAGGCGCCCGCCCCAGCCCGTCGCCCAGGCGCCCGCCCTAGCCCGTCGCCCAGGCGCCCGCCCTAGCCCGTCGCCCAGGCCTGCGCCCTAGCCCGTCGCCCAGGCGCCCGTCCTAGCCCGTCGCCCAGGCCTGCGCCCTAGCCCGTCGCCCAGGCGCCCGTCCTAGCCCGTCGCCCAGGCGCCCGTCCTAGCCCGTCGCCCAGGCGCCCTCCCTGGCTCGCCACCCCAGCCCCGCAGGCAGCGCGCCACGCGGGTAGCGCGCCCCGCAGGCAGCACACCCTGCAGGCAGCGCGCCCCGGGGTGCTTTAGTGCCAGAAAATAAATAAATAAATTAAACCCTAAAAAAAAAAAAAAAAAAAAAAGGGGTTCACAGTGGGGGCCTGCGACTGTCGCCCGCGTTCCTGCTTGCCGGACGACCTGCACAGTTGCCTACATCCCGCAGCCGTCAGTACTGCAGCCCCTACTGTCGCACGTACTTTCCACTACCAGTGGCTCTACTAGCGGCAGCCGACAGCCGCACTTACGGTCTCTAGCCCCGGCCGTTCCTACCTCCAGCCAGCCCTAGCTCGCCGCTTCTAGCTCCAGCCGTTCTCGCTCCAGCCGTTCTCGCTCCTCGCTCGTAGCTCAGTTTGCTCCGTGCTCCGGCCGTTCCTCGCCTAGTTTCACCTGGCGCTTCTAGCTCAGTTTGCTCCGTGCTCCAGCCGTTCCTCGCCTAGTTTCACCTGGCGCTCCTAGCTTAGTTCGCTCCGTGCTCCAGCAGTTACTCGCCTGGTTTCACCTGGCGCTCCTAGCTTAGTTCGCTCCGTGCTCCAGCAGTTACTCGCCTGGTTTCACCTTGCGCTCCTAGTTGTTCTCGTTTTTCACAGCAGCCTGTCGCTCCTGTCGCTCCTAGCCTGCCGCTCCTGCACCCCGCTAGCTTTTATCATGGAGTCCGCTAGGGTTCTCCAGCAGCAGGGACAGTAGCAGCGGCCTTTTCAGCAGTGGCTTCCGCAGCGGCAGGGGCGCCCTCAGCAGCTGTGGCGCCCTCAGCAGCCATGGGGGCCTGGTGGTTCAGGTCGCGTTGGCTGCAGCAGCGGCCCAGCCAGCTGGGGGGCTCGTCGCGGTGGCCGCGACGTCGGCCCCTGCCAGTACCGGATCCTGACCGGCCCTGGTGCTGGCACTACCTGCTGGCGTCCTGACCACTCTGCACAGCGCTGCTACAGCCGCCTCGACGACCTTTACCGTGAGCGTTTTGGGCCTGAGTCGGCTCCCCCGATCTGGCCCGGTCTGTTTCGTAGTGGTTTCCCTGTGTTTGATATGTCTATGGATGCTGTTTATTCTGTCACGTACGGATCTCTTGGCTTACGTGTACCTAGCTTAGGACCTTTGCCTGTTGCTAGTGTCGGTACTTGTGCTTTTAGTGTAGGTGCTTGTGTAGTCACTAGCCCAGCCGTGACGACTGCTGTTGCGTCGCTCTCCTTCACGCTGGACTCCGGCGCGTCTCAGTGTTTCTTCCGCGACCACACCACTGTCACACCTCTTTCGGCTCCAGTCCCAGTTGCCCTGGCTGATCCTACTTCAGGACCAGCAGTTGCTCGTAGCTCGACCACCCTCCCGTGCCCGGCTGTCCCCTCTGGTTTCCTCACTGGTCTCTACATCCCCTCGTTCTCTCGGAACTTGGTGGGTGTTGGATACCTTCAGGACCGGGGGATCACAGTCACTTTTCCTGCGCACGGGAGGACTGCGATCTGTACGGACTCTTCCACCGGGGCAGTTCTTGCCACGTTCACCAGAGAGCCCCACTCAGGTCTCTTCGTCCTGCACACTCCGCCCCCGCAGGTAGCTGCGTCTGGTCAGGTTGCTTCGTCCCCCCCGGTAGCAGAGTCCGGTCAGGTGGCTGTGTCCAGTCCGGTCGCTGTGTCCAGTCCAGTCGCTGCGTCTTGCTCCTGTCGCTCTCTCGCCCACCGCACCGTCCTGTGGCACCACCGTCTTGGCCACCCGTCGATCCCTCGCCTTCGTGGCATGCTCAGTCAGGGACTAGTCACAGGTCTCCCACGCACCTTCCCGTCGCTCCCTCCCTCGCTTGCCCCTCCTTGCTCTCCGTGCGTCGCCGGTCGCTTACGTGCCACTCCCCACTCCTCCTCCCTTCGTCCGGCCACCGCTCCCTTCGAGACTCTCCACTTGGACGTCTGGGGCCCTGCCCCGACGCAAGGGTCTGGGAGGGAGCGCTACTTTCTGGTGGTCGTCGACGACTTCTCCAGGTACACCACAGTGTTTCTTCTTGCGAAGAAGTCCGAGGTGACTGCTACGCTAATCAGGTGGCTTCTAGCCACTGAGGGCACTCGTGGTCGTCGAGTCAGTTGTCTTCACTCCGACCGTGGGGGCGAGTTTCGCTCCGGCATTCTCGGCGGATTCTGCGGCGAACAGGGCATCACCCAGTCCTGGACGCTGCCAGAGTCCCCACAGCAGAATGGGGTTGCTGAGCGCCGCATAGGCTTGGTCATGGACATCGCCCGCACGTCCATGATTCATGCCCGTGCGCCCCATTTTCTGTGGCCTCACGCGGTTCGCTACGCCGCACACCAGCTGAACCTCCAGTCGCGTGTCTCGCGGCCCGAGGCTTCACCGACCAGTCTCTGGACTGGATCCCCTGGTGTTGGGTCGGCCTTTCGAGTCTGGGGCTGCCTTGCACTTGTTCGCGACACCTCCGCGGACAAGCTCTCGGCACGCGCCGTCCCCTGTGTCTTCCTTGGTTTCCCGGTGGACTCTGCTGACTGGTCCTTTTACCACCCTCCCCTCCACCAGTTTCTAGATTCCCGTGACGTCCGGTTCGACGAGTCCGTGTCCTACTACACCCGGTACCCCTGTCGAGGTCTCCCGGTACCCCCTCCCCCTCTCTTCCTCGCACCCTCTCCTCCTCCTGCTCCCGCTCCTCCGGTACCCCCGCCCCCCCCTGGTCCTGCCCCGTCTGGTGTGTCCCACGCTACCCCTCTCCCCTCGGTCGCGCGTCAGGTAGCGTCTCCCTCCCCGCAGTCCTCCTCACAGTCCCCTCAGCAGCCTTCGGCACTTCCGCGACAGGTTACTGTGGACTCGGTTGGTGTTGGAGCTGGAGGTGCAGCCGCTGGCGGTGCTCGGTCTGGGGGTGCTCGGTCGCGGGGTACTGGAGCTGGAGGTGCTGGCGCAGGTGACGCTAGCTCTGGGGGTGCTGGAGCTGGAGGTGCTGGCGCAGGTGGCGCTAGCTCTGGGGGTGCTGGAGCTGGAGGTGCCGGCACTGGAGGTGCTGGTTCTGGGGGTGCTGGAGTTGGGGGTGCTGGCACTAGCGGTGCTAGTTCTGGGGGTGCTGGAGTTGGAGGTCCTAGCACTGGCGGTACTGGTTCTGGGGGTGCTGAGTCTGAGGAGACTGACGCTGGAGACCCTGGTTCTGCGGAGTCCACCCCGCCCCCCCACCGCCACGACACGCGTCTCCAGGCTGCCCGTCGGCGTGAGCGTGAGGAGCAGGAGCGGTTGGAGAGGGAGCGGCAGGAGCTGCGGGTGCTGGACCTTCTGGAGCAGCGGCAGCAGCAGCAGCAGCAGCAGCAGCAGCAGCCGCAGCCGCAGCAACAGCCGCAGCAGCAGCAGCAGCCGCAGCCGCAGCCGCAGCCGCAGCGGCCGCAGCCGCCACCGCAGC